ATTTATTCAGCATTTCTGTATGGTTATAATGTTTGTGGAGATCTGTGTTAACTTGGCTTATGTTGCTAAAAGCAAAAGTTACATAATTTCATTAAATGATTAATTACATTCATGTAATTTTTTTACAACAAAATTGAGTAATTTTCATTGTGATATTTTAGAACTTATATCAAAAGTTTATGTAGCAGGTTATGTTAATTTCCCACTACTGTTTCCTCAGATCCCTCTGTTGTTCTGTTCATGTTGATACTCAGAGGTTTTCACTCCTGACAGCCAAAACCTGCACTGCTTTGTCAGAATGCTTCTCTTAGGCTGCGGGACTGTGGGTGTCTAGTTTTCCTGTGGATGTCTGAAGAATATGGGGGCTTATGTCCTCAGGGGGCAGCCCTGATACCAGTGGCCACTAGGCACAGGAGTGTGACACTCCAGCACCCTTGCTCCTGATGTGGACAGTCTTTACGTATAAACTAATTTGTCTGCCTAGCTCCCTTGTGGAATGGAGCTAGAGTTATCCCTCATGGGACATTGCTGGATATTTTTTTTTAAACTTTAATTTTAATTTAATTTTTTTTAACATTTTTTATTGATTTATAATCATTTTACAATGTTGTGTCAAATTCCAGTGTTCAGCACAATTTTTCAGTCATTCATGGACATATACACACTCATTGTCACATTTTTTTCTCTGTGATTTATCATAACATTTTGTGTATATTTTCCTGTGCTATACAGTGTAATCTTGTTGATCTATTCTACAATTTTGAAATCCCAGTCTATCCCTTCCCACCCTCCACCCCATTGCTGGATATTGGCATCCTTGCTTGGTTTCCTTAACCTCTCTGCCCACTTCCCTATTCATTTACTGGCTTTTTGGGGAAAACTTTTTAATAAATAACTTTCATATCAGTCCTTGTCCTGGGATCTGCTTCTGGGAGTACACTGTGGAAGCAGGATTCTAAGATTGCCTACGAGATTCACTGGTGCACGTGCCCTGTATAGTCCCCTTCTGCTGAGCAAGAATGGGACCTGGGACTGTAAGACAGTCACTCCCTTAATTAGGTTATATTATGTGGCAAAGGTGATGGGCAATGACTTCTTTGATGAGACGGGACTTAATTTTAGCAGTCCAGAGAGAAAGAGAGAGAGATTCTCCTGCTGGACTTGAAGAAGTAAGCTGTTACGCCGTGAGAAGGCCACGTGGTGACAAACTGCAGGGCCTCTTGAAGCTGAGAGAGTGGCCTTCAGCTGATAGCAAGAAAGGGCTCAGATGAAAACACTGTTTTCCATCAATTATTCTCTGATTCCACCTACCCTCTGAAATTTCATTAGTATACTTGGATTTCTCTTATGGCATTTATAACTCCTCTCTTTGTCTCCTGGTAAAAAGGTCTTATCTCGAACTGCATACAGTGGAACTCAGTATCTGTTGAATGGATACATGACTTAAGAGCATTAGTAGAATTTTGAAGAGCCCTTAAGCTATTCACCTGCCTTACTCTATTAGTTTCTCACTAGTGAAAGAGTACTGTTCTAATTCATAACAGGACCTCTGAAAATAAAGCTACCAGCTCCACAAAACAGCTTAAGTTTTCGGTGGTTCTTATTGAAAATCTATGTGCATAGGGAATCTCTGTCTTTTCTTGGACAAAATAGTAGTAGCCAGGAGAGTAGCCAGGGAGTGGAGTGGTTTGTAAGCATGATAATGCTAAATGGGGGCAATCCTACTGTAAATTCTGAAGGTGGGAATGTTATCTGTATATTTAAACATTATTTTGGAGCTTTTTTAAAGTCTGGTTTACTTTTTTAATGTAATCTACAAAAGGCATGCATCCCTTTGGATTGATTGAAAGTAGACGTTAGTTGTGTGCATGGTGGAGAATGGTTTTGAGCCTTGAGTTTTGGTGCTCAGAAAATGCTAATTTCCTAGTTGGACACTGGAGCATCAGGTGCTTCATTGCAGGATGTCAAGATGAGAAGATCATGTTTTCCCTTGACAACAAAAGTATAGGAATGGACAATATGTAGATAGCTCTTAGGGTATATGAATGGTGTGCTTTTTATTACCCAGAACACATGCTTTTTCTTTTGTACAGTGCAGGATAGATATAGTTGTAATTATCATAATACCTGGCCAGTTAGCTATTCTGTGAGACTATGATTATGCAGAATGTAGCAGGAACTTTGTTTATGAACTTATTCTTAAGAAAAAAAAAAAGCAAAAAGCTAAGCCAGCACATCATCTAATTCTCAATGTAAAATAATGCAGAAGTGCGGAAGATGAACATCTGATTTGTCACATCTGATACACTAATGTTTTATCCAAAAGGAAGAACACATTGTAACTTGCTCAGTCATCTGCATAAACACCACCTGGCCCTTTACAGGCACCTACTCAAGTAACAGGAGTCATCAAATGGCAGCTCTGCTCATAGCCCTTTCACTAGTAGAAATAGAAAAATCTCGTTTCTTTCCTTAAAAACAAAGCATTCAGGTATCAGATATGTATATAATATATATCACTAGCTCGCTTTTTTCAACAGCATAAGATCTAGGTGATCAAAGTGAAGCCACTGGAACCTTCCATATTAGGGAATATATGATCACAAATTGCCTAGTTTTTGAACAGCTAAAAATAAAATCATTATCCTTTAAAAAGAAGGTAGCTCAAAACAGACCTTGTGCTGTAAGGTATTTATTGCAGCATGAAGCCACTTCCCCCCCGGGTATATCACTGAGTAAGTCTTGTGTTGGAATAACTGTAGTTTTCAGTGTAAAATATTTTGCCAGAGATAGGAGTTTTTTTCCCCTCTGAACTGACACATTCTGGTTGTATGCTTCAGTGAGCATGCCTTTGTGCTACATTACACACGTAGAGGCAGCATCGCATTTTCCAGTTATACTAATAAGAAAATGAGGAACCTGGACCACTAAAGTGTATTATACCAGTCTTGCAAGTTTCCAAAGGAAAGTAAGTGGGAGGGTGAATGATACTGATCATTATAAAGAAAGGTTTGGAAAACCAAATCTCATTTGCCTTTACATTTTTGATTCAAATTGCTAACTAGAGGGCGTCAACTACCTTGTTTTCCCTGTTGAGAAAACCCTGCCAAAGTCTCCATGTATTTTTGACAGAGGACAATTAAGTTAGTTTTCTGGGTGTACCAGCTTTTTGTTTTATTTTAAAGAGGAGATGGTGTTCAAGAGCCATTAACTCCACATTTGGCCAGCACTTTTCTTGACTGCCTGTGGGACATCCCTAGACTCCAAAAATTCCTATCTTTTTGTTTTGTTTTGTGTTTTG